TCAACTAGTAGAATGTGAGCTCCTTGAGGGCAGTATCCCTTTTGCCCAGTGTAACAATAACTACAACTGAGGGTTCTAGATTGTCTGTGGTGCTTTAGCCTTTTCCTTTCTACCAAGCAGCCACTTTGCTTTCCATCTATGCATGCATTGACTAGATTCAGTCCTGGGGAAGGCAGACCTTCAAAGACAGGGGCCAAGCTCTTTGTCTCACACTCTTTGGCTCTTTCAACGGCCACCCTGATACTCCAGGGAAAACTGTTTAAAGCTTAGTGTGGGACTCATTTCTAGAGTCTCCCCAAAGGAGGAGCAATATGTAGTATAAAACAGGTTGGGTTTTTTTTTTAATTTCCTTTACACACACACACACACACACACACACACACACACATACACACACAGAAATAAACACACACATACACACAAGAAACACAAAGATTCACAAGCATTCATTGACAGATTCAAAAGAGGATACAGTAACTAATAAATATTGAGATACTCTCCTGGGCAGTTGAAACAAAACTATCTTGGTATTAAGCAATGTATGGGATGGTTCATTTGGCATTTCACATATCACCTCAGCCCTGCACTGTGCAAAAAATCTCCCTCTATTCTAATTTTAAGGGAGTTATTTTCTTGGGTAACTATTAAACATAGGGAATAACTTTTTTTAACCTTTTCCCGAACCGACATTAAAACACAAGGTTTTTAAATGCAAGGACTATCAGGCTTTTTCATTTATATCCCTGTGCTTTGCTCAGTACTTGGCACAGAGCAAGCACTTAATAAATGCTTTCTCATTCATGTAGGCATATATTCATTCATCCATTCCCTGAACTGATGTCAAGGGTAGGGCCAAACTAGTGTCGCAACCTCCCATTCTTAGGAGGTTAGAAGGTTGCAGTTGTGGGGGTTTGGATGATTTATTTTCTTGCTATCACAATGCCTGCTATTTTAAGTAAATTCTTCTTATTCTACAATTTCTTATCACATAAATAATAGCAAAAAATGGTCTTTTCAGGAGGAATTTCAAGCAAGAAGAAGAGCTCAGAGCATTACTGCAAGTAATTTGAAGCCAAAGCTAAATAGATTCTCAGGGTAGGTTTCTGTGTGTGTGAATGGTCAAGGGACTTCTAGGAATTTGTTTTTTAAAACAGGGCAGGGGTTCTTAACCTGGGGTCCAAGAACTGTTGGGTTTTCAATATATTTTGACACATGTATTTCAGCATAATTGGCCTTGTAATTCTATGTGTTTTATTTTATGCATTTAAAAATATTTTTCTGAAAAGAAACCTATAGGCTTACCCAGACAACCAATGGAGTACACGACATTAATAAGATTAAGAACCTCTAACCTAGAGGTTTCTTTAGTACTTACACTGAATATCTCATCCTAGAAAGCAATGAAGCCTACTAACATTCAAAAAGTGAAAATTTACACTTTCAACATTTGATCATAGAAAAAAATAGAGCTGGCTGAATGGAATTATGGAATTTTAACTCCTATTTCAAAAGCTTTACCTGTAGAGGTTATAATTGTTGTTACTATAGCTTTAAGAGTCAAATTAAAATGTTGTGGAAATGGAAGTTTTGATTGTGAGTTTCGGGAGTCTTTTAAGAGTTTTTGTTTAAGGGAAGTGGAATGGAATGAAAAGCATTTATTAAGTGTGAACCATGTGTGGAAGATACTATTTTCCTGTCATGGCTGTAGAGAAGCTAGCGAATGTAAAAAGAAAGAGAATGCAGAGGCCTGATTTCTTGATGAAACTGTTTTAATTTTTATCTTGAAAGGAAACAAAAAGAATTCTTACAAGGAGACTTTCTTGATTAGTTATCCTGAATTAACTAAATTCATTGTGAAATTGATTGTGATTATGATCTCAGAAGTAAAGAGAGTCACTGCAGCAGTCTTGTTTCCCACATCCCAGCTACTAAAATTCAGGACTCAAGGGATGGGATTTGTCATCCTTTCTCCCCACACCCCCACCTAATCTCAATGAGTTATTCAATAAATATATAGAATAAATACACGTGGAATTCTATGCATATATGATATTATACATACATATGTATGTGCATATATGCATAGAAATACATATGTCATATATATACATATATACATATACATATATATACATATATATGTGTGTGTGTGTATATATATATATATATATATATATATATATATACACACACACACATGCTTGTGTATGTGTGTGTACAATGAACTATGCTAGGCTCCTTTGAGAGGTATAAAGAATATAGTTGCATACCTTACAATCCAAAGGACACATTCGTTTCAACCTACCTGTTCCATATTACTCCATTTCACTTATAAGAAATCCCAGGCATACTGGAATTTTTTAAGGTTGTTTTTTTTTTTCAGTTAAAAAAAAAGTTGGGGCAGCTAGGTGGTGCAGTGGATAAAGTGCTGGCCCTGAAGTCAGGAAGACCTGAGTTCAAATTCAACCTCAGACCAAACACTTGACAGTTGCTAGCTGTGTGACCCTGGGCAAGTCACTTAATCCCAACTGCCTAAAGAAAAATCTATTTTCTCTCCCTCTCACCTCCACCTCCACCATTAGAAAAAAAAAAAAGAAAGAAAATCCTGACAGCAAATATACAGAGCCAAAAAAACCTAATTCCTGCACTGGACAAGTCCAAAAATATATGACCCATTCTTTACCCTGAATCTATCATGTCCCACTCAAGAAGTGGGTAGCATGCTTCATTACTGGTCCTTTGGAATCATAATTGGAAACTGTATTGATCAGAGTTCTTAAGTCTTTCAAGGCTGTCTTTCTTTACAGTGTTGCTGTTATTGTCAAAATTGTTCTGTTTCTCTTCATCTAACTCTAATTCAATTCAAGTTATCCTAGGTCCTTTTCTGAAAGAGTTCATTGTATCTTTTCTAAGGGCACAATAGCATTCCATTACATTAATATAACATAATTTGTTCAGCCATTCCCCCAACTGGTGGACAACCTCTTTATTTCTATTTCTTTGTCACTACAAAAAGAGATGCTATAAATATTATTTTGTGTGTGGGTCATTTTCCACTTTCTATGATGTCTCTGGAGTTTAGGCCTAGTAGTAATATTGCCAGGTCATAGGATATATAGGGGACAGAGGTCCAAATTTCTTTTTAAAATGGCTAGACTAATTCACAGTTCCATCAACAGAGAAACAATGCACCTATTTTTCTACAGCCCATGTAACACGTCATTTTTCTTTTTTGTCATATTTGCCCATTTGAGGAATGAGAGGTGGAACCTCAAAATGGCATTAATTTGTTTAATAATTAGTGATGTGAAGCAGGCTTCATAAGATTCTTTATGATTTGGTTTTCTTCCCTAGAAAATTGGCTATTCATATCCTTTAACCATTTATCATTTGAGGAATGGCTATTATTCTACTCATTTGAATATGTTCATTTATGTATCTTGAGAAATGAGACCCTTATCAGAGAAACTTACTACTATGACTTTTTTCCCACTTGCCTGCTCTCCTTAAAATTTAAGCTGCATTGGTTTGGTCAAAAAACTTTTAAATTTTACGTGGTCAAAATTATTCATTTTATCTTCTGTGATCCTCTCTATTCCCTGTTTGGTCATGAACTACTCTACCCATAGCTTTGAAAAGTAATTTCCTCCTTGCTCTTCTAATCTGTTTATTATGTTATCCTTTCGATCCAAGTCATGTATCTATCTGGAGTTTATCTTGGCATATGGTGATGAGGTGCTGGTCTACACCTACTTTCTGCCAGACTGCTTTCCAGTTTTCCCAGCACTTTCTATTGAATAGTGAGTTCTGACTCCAGTAGCCCATGTCTTTGGATTTACTCATTACTATGTTATTGTGTTCTCTTTCTTTTTGTATGTTGTGCACATAATCTACTTCAATGATCAACCTATTTTTAAACCAGTACCAAATCATGTTGATGATCATTTCTTTGTAGTGTAGTTTCAGATATGGTACTGCTAGGTCTCCTTTCTATCTCTCTTTTTTTTTTTTTGTTATTTCTCTTGAGATCCTTGATCTTTTGTTCCTCCTATTTCAGTTTGATTTTTTCTAATACTATAATCTTTTTGGTAATATGGCATGGGGCTGAATAAGTTAATTAATTTAGGTAGCATTATCATTTTTATCTTATTGACTTGGCTTAACCACGAGCAATTGATATTTCTCCATTTATCTAGGTCTCTATTTCTGTAAAGATTGCTTTGGATTGCTCTCCATTTTCATCCTGCTTCCTCTCATCTCCCTGCCTTTTCCCCAGGCTGTCATGCCTAAAATGGACTCAGTGCCCTTTTCACACCTGCCATCTGCTGTTTCCAATCTTGATATTTTGAAGTCTCATCCTTTCTTCAAGGCCCAAATTGTAATCCAAGTGCTCTAAGGAATTTTCCCCTAAATTCCCTCCACATGAAAAAAAATTATCTCCTCTATATTAGATTAGATTGTAAGCTTTTGAGGACAGGGACTCTATTGCCTCTTTTTATATCTTCAGCACTTACAGTGCTGGTATATAGTAGGTGCTTCATAAATCTTGATTGATTCCCTGTAACACTTAAACTGCCCTTCTCTTTGCACTTATCTCACTCTTTGTCCTATAAAATTATGTTTCTGCTTTTTTTTGCTCATTACATTCTGAGCACCTTAAAGAGTGGCATTTGAAACAAATCCCTGTTGCTCTCCCAAGGCTTTGTAAAATGCCTTGAATACTGTAAGACTTAACAGACCTTTGCTGATATGCAAGGAAGAGAGTTGCTGTCAAGGCCACTGTAAACAATCTCCCTGGGCTCCATCACAGAGCTGAGAGGCAGCTCCCCCCAGTGTCCAGCGGGCAGTATGCACAGATGCTTCCTCCAAACTGCAGAAGCACATCTATCTGGCCTTCTGGTAAACTTCGCATAGTGGCACCCGGGGTGGCCACACGGAGGCAGCAAGAGCCCAGCAAAGGACCAACGTGGCTCCTCCTCCAAGGCCTCAGCCCCCAGGCTTGAGCACCCTCCCCCTCTCCCGACCACTACAGCTCTGCTGGGGCGGATCCCGCCCAGAGCCTATTGAGTTTAAGGAGAAACAGAAAGCACCTTTCAAAAAAAACAAAAACAAAAACAGAATCTGTCTCAGCTGCAGCACAGCAGTCCCGCTTCTCCCCAGGACCGAGACCATGACGAGCTTGCCTAGGAAGCTGGAGTTGTTCTACGATGTGCTCTCCCCATATTCCTGGCTGGGCTTTGAGGTGACTGGTTCAGGGAAGCTGTGGGGGTCCCACTGCAGGAACCGACACCCACTGGTAGATGGGGCATTTGAAGAGGGGCCTGACGCTTAGGACACAAGGGGAGGGCACTGGAGCAAAGGTAAAAACGACCGACTTCCGGCTACTAGGGCAGCTGGGTTGGTGATTGGGAGACTGGGGGAGGCGGATCAGTGCTGAAGGTTACTGGATGAGCGCTGCCCCTGGGAATCAAATGGACCTTGTTTATTTCTCCTGCTCTACAGAAAGAAAAAGATAAAAGAAAATTCCACTAGCAGAAATTAGGATCCCCCAACACTCTCCACAACAATTCTTTGTCTCAACTTTCTTACCCAGACACTCAGGTTCTGCCTTCTTTCCCCCCCACCACTATTTCTACCCCTCTGGGGAGGAAAGGAAAAATCGTTAGAGGAAAGGGATTTTGATCCCAAACTGAACTAACCTCTTGGGTACTCCAGCCCTGAAGACTGGTGAGGTGTAAGTCAGCCCCTGACTCCTGTGGGGAGATTGTTTCCCAGCCCCCTGACAGCTGGGATAAGATCCCACAGCCCCAGCTAGACAAATGATCCCAACCTGAGCCAACAGATTCCTCAACCTTGGTCACTTGCCCAGTTATCAGTGATTCAGAAAAATTCACATCTTTATGAACTCCACCACTACCCACTGCACAGCCCTGAACACTTATGCACAGTGGGTCCAAAATCATTGTTATCTCCCTGGCAGGTCCTGTGTCGATATCAGAACATCTGGAACATCAACCTTCATCTGCGCCCAAGCTTAATCGCAGGGATCATGAAGAGCAGTGGTAGGGAAGTATTCCATGGAAGGGAATGTAGTCAGAATGAGTGAATGCTCAGGGAGGGGTTTTACTAAGAAGCTGCCCCAAATTAAGTTCTTACATTGCTGTCATCAAGTTTCTCCCTTGTTTCCTTCTAAATCCCCAACCTATTAGATTTAAGGAGTTTTCTCACCAAAGAACTCAGTGACCTAAGAAAACAGAAATTCCTGGGGCAGTTAGGTAGCGCAGTGGATAGAGCACTGGCCCTGACATTAGGAGGACCTGAATTCAAATCCAGTCTCAGACCAAACACTTGATACTTACTAGCTGTGTGACCCTGGGCAAGTCACTTAACCCCAATTGCCTTTAAAAAAAAAGGAAAAGAAAACAAATTCCTTGAGGTCAAGAACTATATTTATTTTGACTTTGTACCACCTTTGTACCTCCACATCCAAGCACAATACCTTGTATTTAGTAGGTATTTAATAAATGTTTACAGAAATGAATTGAATGACTCATCCACAGGGAACAAACCACCTGCTTTGCTACCCCAAAAGGGCAAATACATGTTCATGGACCTCCAGCACCTAAGGAAGTTTTACCAGGTTCCTCTCCAGGCACCCAAGGATTTCCGCTCTGTCATATTAGAAAAAGGTGGGTGTGGGAGAGTGAAGAAGAGGGGAAGAAGGGTATGAAGATGAGGTATAGCAGGGCAGGGAAGTTAGGATGAAGAAATATTGATAAGATAAGAGTCTGAGGTTACTAAAGTTGAGCAAAAGGACTATAGGATCTACTGAAGGGTATAGACAGAATGTTCTAGACAATCAGGACTCTAAGGAATTGTTGGAAAATACAGAGGAAATGGGGAAAATAGAAGTTTTGGCATATAATGGATGGGGGAAAACAGGAAAAATTGATTTGGCAGGAGGAGGACCCAGAGGAAGAGGGTGTGCAGTCAGTGGAGAAGCCACAGAGATCCATCTATCTCTATGCAATAGAAGGAACTATATAATACCAGAACTGGTTCTAGACTGAAAATCCAGTGAAACCTAGGTTCAAATCCTTCCCCTTAATATGTGCTAGGCATGTGACCATGGGCAAATCACTTGACTATTCTAAGCCTCAGTTTCTTCATCTGTAAAATGGGGATAATAATACCCACTATACCTACCTCATGTGAGTTCCGGTGCACTTTGCAGATCTTAGAGTGATGTATAAATCCAGGCGATTGTTATTGTTGTTATTGGTGTTGTTATTGTTGTTACCTTCTCTGGCTTCTTTCCCTCAGGGAGCCTGACTGCCATGCGATTCCTTACTGCTGTCAACCTGGAGAACCCTGAGATGTTAGAGAGAGTGTCTCGAGAGTTGTGGATGCGTGTCTGGTCACGAGTGAGTTTCTTTTTTTTAATTTTTTTCAATTGTCAAAAATCTATTTTCTTTCCCCCTTTACCCCTGTCTTACTAGAGAGATAAATAAATAAATAAAATCCCTTGTAACAAACAAGCATAGTCAAGCAAAACAAATTCCTGGAGTGGCAATTACCCAAAAAACACATGTGACATTCTGCACCCTCAGTCCATCACCTCTCTGGCTACAAGTGTAGACATTATTCTGTACTGTCAGTACTCAGGTTGGTCATTGCCTTGTTCAGAGTTTATTTTACAAAATAATTATCAGCCATACTTTTTTTCCCTCCCTTCTATGTACCCCATCCATTGAAAAAGAAAAAGAAAAGAACAAATTATAGAACTCTTTCATTAATTAAATACATTTAAATAAACTCTCATGTTAGTCATGTCTAAAAAATGCATTTCATACTCTAAATATTAGTTGATCATCTTTTTTTATAAAGTATGCAGCACTCTTTATCAGTCCTCTGCAATTAGAAAAAATATTAAGTTCATCAGAGTTGTTAAGTGTGAGAATTTTTCATTCTTAATATAAGTAATTCTTATGGTTCTGCTTACTTCATTCTGTATAAGTTCCTAGAAATCATTCCATGTTGCTTTTTAAACCATCTTTTTCCTCCTTTCTTACAAAAACTAGTTTTCCTTTAAATTTATATACCACAATTTATTCAGGAATCTAACTCCTGGATTAGATTTTCTAATCCCCTGTCCTCTACATAGAGTCAGCTACTCTATCAAAAAGGAGGCTGGATTCCTCTAACTATTTGTGTTTACAGTAGTCCATCAGATTGAGCTACATTAGCACCAATATTTTCCCTACCCCTATATCCACAGCCATATATCTCCCCTATATTGCCTGTCCAGGACTTATCTCCCTTCCCGAACTTTATTCTATCCTTTATGCCTAGGATGAAGATATCACTGAACCCCAGAGCATCCTGGCTGTGAGTATCCCAACTGTATTCTTATTTCCCCTAACTGAAGTCTGAGAGGCAGCTAAGTGGCACAGTAGGTAGAGTACCAGGTCTAGAATTAGGAAGACCAGAGTACAAATTTGGCCTCAGACACTTACTAGCTGAGTGACCCTGGGCAAGTCACTTACCTTATGTTTGCCTCAGCTGTAAAGTGGGCAGACCAATAAGCATCTGCCTCCCAGAGTTGTTGTAAGAATCAAATGAGGTAATAAGGTAAAGCACTTGACACATAGTAAATGCTATGTAAATGTTAGTTATCATCATCATCATTACAAATGAACATCATTCTTGAGTGAAACATAGCACTGTGCTCTGGGGCAATAAGGTCTCCAGGAATCAAGGTACAGGTGACTGGCAGATAGGGAGCAGAAGGGCGTGGGCAGCAAAATCTCTGTCTGGTGAAACAGGAAGGGATCACATGTATCTGAAAGGAGACTTCAGTGGTCAGATTCTCACTGACTGGCCAATCGTGGGCCCCAACCCAAGCCTGAGTGGTCATTGTTTGGGTTTTGTTGCCTTGGAGTGAGTGTAAATAGCAATTGTTTCTGTTCTGGCCAGGAACCCTGAGGGTCTTCCCCTCCCAGATTGATTTTGTTTGTTTCTTTGTATTTTGAGTAAGTGAAAAAGGCCACTTTTTGCTTCATTTCTTACCTAGCCTTAATTATGGAATGGGTATTGAGTCAGACAAACTGAGACCTGGGAAAGCCCTTAGCTTAAAAAGGCCAAGGTCTCCCATTGCATCCAGGGCCATCTCCAGCCATCCTGATCTGGCTCTGGAGGAGACAGTGACTTTGCACAGTCCTGCCTCCCTGAAATCCAATTTGCTTGCAAGTCAAGGCATCACCTTCCCTGTGACACTGAAGGACAAACAACAACAATGACAGTAGTAAAAAAAGGGGAGAAAGGCAGTGGAGTGTATAGGAACAGTCGGACAAGGAGAGAGAGGACATCCAGCAGTACCTTACAGGAGGGGAAGCTCGTTGTGTTAGGAGTTCTAAGAACCTTCCTGGTACATGAAAAAGCTGGAGGTGATACCACAAGAAACCAAAGGGCTAAAATTTGTGTTATTTCCTGAACTGAAAGACAAACAAGAATAACTCAAAACATTAATCTTTCTTTGGCCATAAAGAGGGGAATGCAAGCTTTCATAAGGCAAGCCTAAACAACACATTGTATTCATTGAAGTGAAATAAGAAGCCAATCCTTAATCAGACTGAGTCAAACTCGAAGGTATATAGAGCTTTAAGGTTTACAAGCACTTTCCTCAAAAACAATTCCACGAATGTTATCCCCATTTTCAGATGAGGGAACTGTGGTTCTGCGCAGTCAAATGCCTTGGCCTGAGTTCCATAGCTAGTAAGTGGGAGAAGCAGGATTCCAACGCAGTGAACTCATTCCTAGTAGAGCATCCTTCTCATTTGACCACTGTTACCATTTGCTAATATTAGGCATTGTTAAGCATGTGTCTTGATCATTTCTTAATAGCTCTGGGCTTAGAGTAGAAAGGATCAGGGACTGTATAGCAAGGGCTACCTGGCTTTATAGACCAGGCTTTATAGACCAGGTCAGTTGCTTCTGTGCCTCATTACCTTGCCCTCTTCTCTAAGGTTTTCAAGATTCCCCATAGGAAAGTGAATGTAGCCCCTCCCTTGCTCCATGTTCCACTCAGCACCTTTATTATCTCAAGACTTCAGGAAAATGAAAAGTCATTCCTCTAAAGTTTGAGGACTCTTGGACTGAAAGGGAGCAAAGAAGGGGACAGCAAAGGCTATTAGAAAATAAATAAATGAATACATAAACAGAATAATAGACAAAATGATCCTGAACTAGGAGTTGGGAGACCTTTGTGACAAAGTCTTTGGCCTTGGGCAAATTACTTTCCATTTCTGGATCTTAGTTTTGTTGTCTGTCAAAAGATAGAGTTGGACTAGATGTTCTCTTAAGTCCTATGAAGATCCAAAGTCAAGGTCAAGGTAATAGTCATGATGTTAGCAATCTTCATAGACAAAGTCAGAAATATATACTGTTTACTCTTGGGGTCACTAACCAGGAGGAGTTCAGATCTAGAGGTTAACCTCCCACTCCAACTCAACTGTGGTCTGTTGCCTACCTCACTTCCATAGGCTGCAGAGAAAGCAGGACTTTCTAAAGAACAGGCTAAGAGTCTACTGGAAAAGTGTTCAACTGACAAAGTGAAGAACAGTCTAAAAGAGACGACAGAAGCAGCCTGCAATTATGGGGTGAGGAGCCCTTCCCTCCCCCCACCACTTGCCTCAGCACTCAACCCATGGTCCTTGAAGGAGCTCCAATGTATCTTCAAATTTCTTCTCATAGGCCTACCTCCCAACATGGCACTTTGCCATTTCCCACCAGTCTCAGCCATCTTAAACCCATAGGAAGAAAGAAAATTAAGGAAATAGATAGGGATAGAAGGGAGGAGATAGAAAGGTACCAATGTTAAGAGACAGAAAGACAGAGACTCTCCTGCCTATTTCCTGTGTGATCCTTTGCCATCTGCATTGATACTGGGCCCTTTAGCCCCACTTCCCTTCACCAATCTTAAGTCAATGTTGACTCCCGCACCCCACTGTCCTCTTCTTTGTCTTTTCTGTATTGTACTGTGTTCACTCTTTTTCCAGGCCTTTGGGCTTCCCATCATAGTGGTCCATTTGGATAACCAATTCCACATGCTCTTTGGCTCTGACAGGATTGAACTGCTGGCCCACCTGCTAGGTGAGTTGGAGACACTTTGCCTTACCATTGTTAAGATGTTCCTTATCCCACAGCCCTGTGTACCTTCCAAGCTTACCACTGAGTAAGAGGTTAGAGGAAGCAAGCATTCTTGAGCAATAAATTTTCATTAAGTTTCCAAGAGGCAGAGCCTTGTACTGGACACTTCAAATGGGAACAGGCTCTGTCTTAAAAAGTGGAAGCAATCTCTGTTGTAAGGAAACCATGTATATTGTAGAAGATAAGGAGAAATCATCTTCTCCTTAAACCAAGAATGGCCCCTTTCCAGAATTCTCTGGGTCCTTGTGGGCAAGAAAAGGGGTAAGGGAAGAGAATAGTGGATAGCACACTTGCCTAGGCCGCAGATGCTCTCTTCCTTTAGGACTGTGTGTAGAAGGTACCTGGTTTTTTCCTTCCAGGAGAACAGTGGCAGGGCCCAGTGCCCAGCACTATGAAAGGCAAACTCTGAGCACTTATAGAAGAAGAGGAGCTGCCCAACCCTAGGAGCCAGACCCTTCCTCCCCACAACACCCCCATCATGGAATCCAGGGTGCTGGTGCTCTGCATTCCCATATTTTCAAGTTTGGGGGATATGTGGCATGGTATCCTGAACTTGCAGTCCTGGGATTGTCCTATTCCTACCACTCACAAGTGCCTTAGGGAGGGCCCCAACCTTCATTGTTTCAACCAAATAAACTCCCCATTGGGGTTCACATTTGTGTGCCTGTCACTGTCTGATGTGTCATGTATTTTTCATTTTGTATCTGTTCTTCTGTGGAGTTAGTGAAAAAAAGTTCCCCTGCAACTTTACATGATAATTTTCTTTTATATTTGAAAAGAATAGCAAATTGTGCATAACAGATTTGCAGTTTCATGGGCAATCATCTTTTTTATTGTACTGTGTTATGCAAAGGCTTGTTTTATTTCATAAATTTAATTTAAAAAAAAACACCAATATAGGTAAAGATAAAAGACTAACATAGGCCCTCCTGACAAGGAAATTACATCCTAGTGAGAGAGGAGGAGGAAGGCAGAACGTAAACACACAAGTTATGTGTTATGATACGGACAGAAGAGAGATCTGGAAAAGGCGATCTAAGATTTGTTGAGGAAAGTATCTCTCTCTCTCTCTATCCCTCTCCCTCTCTTTCTTTCCAGCTAAAGGGTTCAGTGGATGTAGTTCTACATTCAGGTCTACTAGTGGTGTGATCCTGGGTAAGTCACTTAAAACTGTACTTTCCTCAATTTCCTCACCTATAAAATGGGGATAATAATAGCACTTACCTTACAGAGTTACAAGGATCAGAACCTAATGTGCTGTATAAATATGAGCTACTATTCTTGGTGTGAGAGCAAGAGAAAGCTTCATCTAAAGTGGTGAAAGTGAAGCTTGAAGTTATCGTTGAAGGATGAAAAGATGTGAAGGAAGCTTGCCATGGGTGCAGAGAATGGCCTACATAAATGCACAGTGGTGACAAAGGACACGATGAGAGGAGGAAATAATGGTAAATAGTCCACTTTGGCTGGAGCAGAGTACTTGAAATTAGGTTAGAGGGGTAGGTTGGAGCCAGATCATGGAGGGATTTATATGCCAAATAAGAGTCTTCATTTTATCTTTTGGATAATAATCAATATCAGTATCAATGCTAACATTTATATACTGCTTTCAGGTTTACAAAGTACTGTATGTAAGTTGTATTTGAGCCTCACAGACTTATGAGCTAGATGCTATCATTATCCATATTTTATAAAGGAGGAAAGTGAAACTGAAAGAGCTAAAATTGCTTTCCCAGAATCAAAAATGTAGTAACTGCCTGAGGAAGGATTCAAACTAAGGTTTTGTTGACTCCAGGTCCAGCTCTTCCTTCCAAAAACATGAAGGTTTTTGAGTAAGAGAGTCACATGGTCAGAACAATGCATTGGGAAGGGTATTTTGGCAGCTGTGTAAAGAATGACTTGGAAAGGGATGACCCTAGGGGCAGGGAGACCAGCTAGAAGACTATTAAGCCAAGATTAGAGCATTGAAGACCTGAGCCAAGGTAGGCAGTGTGAGTAGAGAGCCTGTAATGGGTGTGAGAGATGCTGTGGAGGGAGAATTGTCAGGACTTGTCAGCAGGGACAGAGTGTAAAGTGGAAAGACTAGTCAAATAATTCAGGTTTCCAAACTAGGTGATTTGGACCTACTGTGTTGGAGGCCCTGGAAGGACATCCAGGTGTATACATCCACAGAGGTATTTAGAAATGCCTCCCAAAGGCAATGGAGAAACAGACAAACAAAGACAGAGACAAGAGAGGGAGATCTAGGAGGCATCTATGTTTAGGTCTTCATCCTTGAGATCTCCCACCTTGACTTAGTAGCCTTCTAATTGGTCTCTGCTTTTCAACCCACACAACTACCATCTGAATAACAGTGACTAAGGATGGATGAAAACAGCCAGGGAGATTTAGAGAAAAGAATTAATTAGGTGTCACCTGGAGAAGACTCGATCATTTGCAAAAAATAAAGAAATGGTAGGTTTTGAAAGGAAATTAGGGCTAATGGAATGGTGTATAACATTAGGCTTTGAATCTATTGATTCTGTTCTCCATTCCTTTTTTACCTTAACTAGACAAAGAAAGGGGCAGCTAGGTGGCACAGTGAATAGAGCACTGGGCCTGGAGTCATGAAGACAAATCTTCCTGAGTGTAAATCTGTCCTCAGATACTAGTTGTGTGACCCTGGGCAAGTCACTTAGCCCTGTTTGCCTCAGTTTCCTCATCTGTAGAAATGAGCTGGAGAAGGAAATGGCAAACCACTCTAGGATCTTTGCCAAGAAAACCTCAAATGGGGTCAAAAATAGTCCAACAGGACTGAAAAATGACTGATCAGCAATGAAGACAAAGAAAATGGGGCTGGGTGGATAGTAGATCTAACCCAGGATGTCAGTCTTATGTCTTTATGTTCTCAGTAAATGAATTAGCCATTTGGTTTGCTTTATAATGGCAATAGAAAAACCCTACTGATGTTAAGCGAATTCTGGCAGGGTGTTGTTCTTTCTGACTGCAGGTCTTATTGGGCCAATTAGTAGAGATGATTGAGACAGGAGGAGAGGAAGATAGCATTTGTTTACTCTACATCCCAGAAGGACTCACATGAGTCCTGGGGATGCAAATCAAGCAAGGATCCTATTCCCACCAGTGCTTCCCAGAAAAGACTATTGTTTGTGTCTCTGGATCAGAGCTCTCAGAGGGCAAATAAATCAGTGGTTTGTTCAAACTAGAAACTAGGATGTATGTTAATATCCCTGGGTGCAGCTGGAACTGGTCTGAGAGAGAATCTTTTAAGGAGGACAGAACATTTACTCTAGGAAATCCTGGAACATTCAGGACTCATCCCACCCCAGCCTGACTTGACTCAGGTCACTTGCCAAGCAGCTCCCTTTCCCAAATACACCCAAGAGAATAGTACCAACTGGCCACATCTCAACTAGGTGGTGGTATATGAGGAAATTACAGTCTGATGCTCCCGTTTGCTAATCATACTCACGGCCCCAAAAGTATGAGCAGAGTCCCAGAAGCTACCTTTGAAATCCCAGACACAGCAATAAAAGCACTTCTACCCAATAGTAGCAAACTTGAAATGGCTTTAAATCTCCAAAATCTTATCCTAGCAACTACTGTCAAAATATTATTTTTTTTAATTTATAAATTAATTTTTAGTTTTTAACATTCACTTCCTTAAGATTTTTAGTTCCAAATTTTCTCCTCATCTCTCCCCTCCCTCCCCCCCAAGGTGGTGTGCAATTTGATATAAGCTCTACACATACATTCATATTGATCCTATTTTCACATTAGTCATGTTGTAAAGAAGAATTAGAACCAATGGGAGAAACCACTAGAAAAAAGAAACCAAAAAAGAGAGAGAGAGAGGGAGACAGAGCAAATAATATGCTTTGAGCTGCATTCATACTCCATGGTTCTTTTTCTGGATATGGATAGCATTTTCCATCATGAGTCCTTTGGAGTTGCTTTGGATCCTTGCGTTGCTAAGAAGAGATAAGTTTATCAAAGTTAATCATCGCATATTGTAGCTTCTACTGTATACAATGTTCTCCTGATTCTGCTCACTTCACTCAGCATCAGTTCATTCGAGTCTTTCCAAGTTTTTCTGAAGTCCATTTGCTCATCATTTCTTATAACACAATAGTATTCCATTACATTCATATACCACAACTTGTTCTGCCATTCCTCAACTGATGGGCATCCTCTCAATTTCCAATTTATTGCCACCACAGAAAGAGCTGCTATAAATATTTTTGTACATGTGGGTCCTTTTCCCATCTGTATGATCTCTTTGGGATACAGAGCTAGAAGTGATATTGCTAGGTCAAAGGGTACACATATTTTTATAGCCCTTTGGGCATAGTTCCAAATTGGCTCTCCAGAATGATTGGATCAGTTCACAACTCCACCAACAATGCATTAGTGTTCCAATTTCCCCATATCTTCTCCAGCATTTATAATTTTCCTGTTTTGTCATGTTAGTCAATCTGATAGGTATGATGTGGGACCTCAGAGTTGTTTTGCTTTGCATTTCTCTAATCAATAGTGATTTGCAACATTTTTCATATGACTATAGATAGCTTTAATTTCTTCATCTGAAAACTGCCTGTTCATATCCTTTGACCATTGGTCATTTGGGGAATAATTCCCTGTCAAAATATTCTGGAGAAAAAGTGGGGAGTTTCTAGAGAAGCCTATGGCAGGCATCTGAGAGAGGAAACCACATAATCAGGGAAAAGTAAGGATGTACATTTTCAGAAGCATACAATGTGAGAGGCTGACATGACTTTGGAGATCAATCCAATCCCCTCACTTACCAAAGAGGAAAATTTTGCAGATGGATAAGCTGAATTGGAAAATGTAGTTAACCTAAGCCCTTACTAGAACCTAGGACCTTTTACTAGATGGAAACTATTACTAGCACCCAGAAGTTTTTAGGCCAAAGCAATATATTCTGCCAATTAGAACAGTGATTCTCAAGATCTGCAGAGCTGCAAAACCTTATTTTGTTTTCTTTTATTCCAGAAAACTTCTAAAAATAACTTATGGCATATGTATAATCATCACCATGAGGGGACCTATGAGGCCAGAAGCTGCTTGAGCCAAGCAACATTTGTTCTTGCTAAGAAGAGAGACTTAGAAGCCAAGGACAATCATTTAGGAATGGCTGATGTATGTGGATAGATAGAGATATAAATACACATATATGTACATATATAACATGTATATATTTGTATATGTGTGTATACACATATACATACATGTACATAGACACATAAAAACACATACACATATACATGTAATAGGATATTACTGTGCCAAAAGAAACTACAAGGAGAAAGAATTAAGAGAACACAGGAAGATTTCTAGGAAATGATACAAGGTAAAGTGAGCAGAACCAGGAAAACAATATACATTATATAAATGGAGAGATTGTAAAAAAAAAAAACCTAACTAGTGGGTAACAAGATTAACCAAGTTTAGCCCCCCAAAAGAAATGAAAGATGTACTTTTCTCCTCTTTTCACAGAGATGAGATACTACAGGTACGGAATATTGTACATATTGTCAGATTCGGTCAATGTATTGGTGACCTTTGTGGAAGTGCTTTATTACTCTTTTTATTTTTATTTTAATTCTTTGTTAAAAGGTGATCAAAAAAAATCAATAATTTTTTTTTCAAAATAATGATCCATTGATTACCCTATCCCACATTACCTTATTTAGGTAAGAACACTTCCTGATTAAATCAGATTAAATCAGAACTAAGTGTGGATAAGGCCTTGAATCAAAGACATTTCAAATAGGTGCAATTTTTTCTGATTGGGTGAGAGACTTAGATATACCTTAAGGAGCTTGTATATCAGCAGGAGCTAGTTAAGAGTGGGAGAGGGACATTGAGGACTTAGCTGTGACAAAGAAGTGTGGACATCAAGGACTAAGCCAGAAAGAATCAGTGGCAAGGGGGTAACTATTGAGAACAGGAGAAAGTAGGACTGAGCTGTGGCATAGAAGGGAAAAATCAACAAAGACCATCAATCCAAAGGCATCTCAAAGGGGAAGATTCAGGCTGATACAACCAGTGACATCCACCTCCTCAAGGCCTGAGGAAAGTTCAAATAAAAAGTCTGCTCTCTCTCCTATTTCCCCTCACAGTGCATGTCTATTAACAGATGCTATAACACAGTGATGTCAAATTCAAATAGAAACAGGAGTAGGGATGCTATCTCTGCCCTGAAAGTGAGAGGAAGAATGCCACTCCCTTGCAACTAAAGCACTCATCTCCATCCTGGAACTGTTACCCATATCTAGGTAATGGGCAGTGATGTTGCCAGACATCACTGCATCCTGAGCCCCCTGGCAGCACAAGGGTTCCCTGCAATCTCTTTCTGGCCAGTGGTTCAATCCCCTTAGCATGTCTAGGCTATGAGAGCTCCTGAAGCTGCTGCTGCTATCCCAGCCGCTTCCACTGGTACTTCCACTGCCTCTGCAGCAGTCTCCCAGGCCATGAGCTGGTGATGCTATAGGATATGCTCCTGGCCAGGTCCTACTCAGGTCACAGACCTCTCCCTCCAACCTCTTAAGTTGTCTTAGGCTGGAAAAATGTCTCACATTTACTGTTTTTTGCCTGTGCATCTCCAGAATTCAATTGATGTGTTCCTTTGAAGTTATTTTGGAGGGCAATGTTGGGAGAATGCAGCTGGAATTGTTGTGGTCTGACAGGCTGAGACCCCTCAAAGACCAGAGTACAGGATGGGGTCGTCTGGAATGAATTCACAGATTCAAGCATTCTTTAAGTCAAGGTGGCAAAGATTTATTGTTATGCTTTTCAGCAGGCAAGGATTATTAAGGAACCTGCAACAGACTGAGAATAGGGCTAGGATTTATATGGAAAGGGGCATGGGAAAGGATTGCCAGGGATACCAATTAGGTAATCTAAAGGTCCAGGTGTCTTTGGGAGCTATGGATGGGAAAGTGTAGGGAGTATACCAGACAGGGAGGGAGATATCAGAGGCATGGATCTTGGAGTCTGGCAGGAGGAAGAGTCCTTGGGCCAGCCAAAGACAAAACTCCTTGGGCTGGGCAAGACACCTCTCTCTCTCTGTCTTGTGCAACAAAGGAAATCTGTTTCACAAGACAGAAGCTTACTAAGGAATTGGGAGGCTTCCAGAGACATGATCTTAGGGCTGGGGGCAGCCCAGCACTCTCTCACCCAGCTTTGTGTAGCTGCACCAGGAAGAGACATAAGGGTCTTTCTGGGGCCCATGCATGAATAATTGCTAGGCACAGTGTCCTTGGGCTGGGGAATGATTGTCAGAGATAGTGTCTCTGAGACTAGAGAGAAATTGGGATCCAAGTACAAGCACAAGAACTGAAGTACCCCATCAGAATGTCCCCTCTACTCCACCATCTTGGCTCCATAACCTTGGCTTCAATTTATTGAAAAAATTGAATGACATCTCACAGATGGTTATTCCTTGAAATCCATAACTCAAAATCTCTGAGAATTATAAATCACTCTCTCTTTCCTTCCTGTCATAAAGAAAAGATGCCTCTACTCCTTCCTAAGAATGATTCTTTTATTGTTTCCTTCATCCCATCATCTCCTGCATATTTTATTACATTAGTCTAGCAGTGTTGCAGCTTCCATCTATTCCTCTCAAATGGGTCTTTCCCAGGAACCTACAATTAAATTATTCACTTCAAATTTAATAAGCATTTAGTAAGTGCATACTCTGTGCAAGGCACAATACAGGCTCCTACTACCAGACAAAAAATAAAAACAAGCTCAGTCTTCCAGGAGCCTATATTTAACAACATGCAAAAAGAAAAGGAAATTAAGATAAGCTGAAGAAAAACACTGAGGAACATTAATAATTGAGTGCAACAGTGAAGTTTTACTATAGGAGATGGCAAGTAAGTTGAACCATGAAGAAATCTCTAGGGGATCCTTTTCTCAAGATAGACACGGCTCACATCCCTGGGCTCAATTTGGCTAGTCTCCAACAAATCATTTGTCTGATCTTTGGCTTCTGGAGTCTCACCAGGAGGCAGAGCCATTCCTCCTCATTTGATCTGAGCAGAACCTGAGAGCCTAGTTGCTTCCCTCTTCCACTGGAGAAATAGCCTCAAGAACTACAGCCTGTTCATTTTCCATTTCTTATGACTAACAGGCATATAAACACAGAGCCATGTCCTAGGTAGATAAGTAATAAGAAAGGTTTCACCACAACAAGCAGCCTTGGTCTCTTATTTTTGTTAATTTTGTGGGAGTTTTCCTTTTTTCTGAACAGTCCCCATGATCTGTTTTCTGCACTAGTTGCCTGATAATATATAGCAGTGGTGATAACTGCCAGCATTTTACATAGCATTTTAAGGTTTGCAAAGCACTTTACAAATGTCATCTCATTTTTACCCTGGCAACAATCCTCGGAAGGAGGTGTTATTATTATCCCCATTTTACAATGAGGAAACTGAGGTACAGAGAGGTTAAATGACTTGCCCAGGGTTACACAGCCAGTAAGCATTGAAGGTCAATTCTGAATTGGGGTTTTCCTGAGTCCAGGTGCAGTACTTTAATCCAACTGCACCATCTAGCTGCCTAAGTCATGAGCTCAGATCTTGGCTTTTGCCAGAAGCAGTCTAATTCAGGGATAAGAAGTCCCATCTTCTCTAAGTATAAAAAAAAAAAAGTAGAAAAAAAGATCTACAAAGTAACAAAGTCAGAAAAGCTGTAATAATATCATGAGATTTCCTTTAAGCATTAGAGAGAAAACTCTAAAATGAGGGTCAATTTATACCCAAAAAATACCAATATCAATTACTGTATGGATAATCCCAATTTTCATCTTCGTGCCCTAGATGCCTAGAACTTCTGGAGGGAAAATCTACTGAAATAATACAAATCAAGGAAAGCACAGATTATTGACTCTTTGTGAAAGGTCCCAGAATCTAGGAATCTCCATGACAACCCTGTACCTCAACAAATGTCATTTCTGAGAAGGCCTCCAGAAGATCCTGACTCATAAGAAACAAATCTACCCAACAGGTATTCAGAAGTCCCTTCTTCACCATAAGGATACATCAGTGAACACTGAGGACTGGAGGCCCAAACCCTGATAGAAATATTTTGATTATTTCCCCACTTAAGGTGTATAGGTTCTCTTTTAAAACCCAGAATGCTACAGTTCTTAAAAGAAATTCAAATTAACAACAACCAAATGAATAAACCTTCAAAATTTCTAATAGAAAAATGCTTATTAAAAAAAATACCTCTGAGATGTTACCTAACACCTTTCATATGAGCAAAGAGAATTAAAGACAACACATTTCAACATTGACGTGGCATGGTAAGAGAGGTATGTTATTGCATAGCTGGTAACATGAAGGGTTCAATCTTCTTGGAAAGTAATAAGGAATCATGCAACAAGAATTACAAAAATCTACATACCTTTTCATATGGCAGCCTAATACTAGGACTATACCCCCAAGAAGATTATTGCTAGAGAAAAGAGCTCTCTGATCAAAAAATATGTCAAGCACCATTATTTATAGGAGCAGAAACTGGAAACAAATGAAATGTACATAATTTGAGGACAGCTGGACAAATTATTGTATATTAATACAATGGAATACCATAAGACATGATAAATTTTCATAACTGAAAGAAACATGAACATTTTATGAAGTAATACAGAATGAAGAAAGCAGAGATAAAATAAACAATACACATATTGATAGCTGTCAATTAAGATAATAACAGCAATAAATCTATGCTATATACAAATTAAAGTCAAAAATCATCATGAAAACAAGAATGATGTGGGAGTTTCTATATTAATGTCAACGTACATATGTTTGGAGGTAGGATTAACAACAGGCAAATACTTGCTTACAGACATATTACAATCATTTACAACCTATTGGGGGAGGGAGGCTGTTTGCTTCATTTTTCATACTCACCTTTTTGTCTTTTCTTAAGTTCTTGTTCATACATTTGAGTATCTGCATTTTTCAGTGGAACTTAAAAATAATATCAATACATTTTAAGTGAAACATAATGTTACCACAATAATCTAAGTAGGGAAAATGATCAATGTAAGGAGAAAAGTGTCTGGGTTTAATTAGTCTTTATACCTTGACTACAGAGGTAACTGTGTTGACAAAAGGGAGAGTAAGAAAGCTTGGTGAGGTATCTGCTCTTAGCAATGTGGTACAAGGGAGTCTGGTTATCTGGGTGACTTTCCCTGAATGTTGCACATGTGGGAAAACTCTTGTGGACTGGTCTGTGCTACTTGATGACTAAAGCTTTAGAGAGAACCCCAAAGAGCTAACTTTGGGTCTAAAGATCAGTTACAGCTAAATCCTTTTCAGAGGTGTTGAACATGGGCCAGCAGGCCTCATGCGGCCCACAACACTCCAGAGGGCAGCCCAAACCAGATTAAACTGTAACTGTGAAATATTTAACAAAATAACTTAAAATGCAATAACATAGGAAACCCCAATCTCAAAGCCCATTGGCATGGGACTCTGTCTTTATTGGTGGAGATGAATGTGCTGCCCTGAATGAGGGGCAGAGTAGAGTTTGCAAGAAGGAGAGAGAGCTCATGTCTCTTCAGTCTTCTGCAAGCTTCTAGTTGCTTTAGGCCCTGCAGGCTCTGTGGGCATTTCTGCTTCCAGCTTTGGGAGAAAAGATGGATGAGGCCAACTCCACTTCAGTTGGCAGAAGGAAAAGACTCTGGGAAGAAACTGATATAAGAGGCTC